CGCACACAGCCCCGGGACAGGCGCACACAGCCCCCGGGCAGCGCAGGCCGTACCTAGGAGGCTGTCGGAGGACAGGGCCCAGGCGCAGAGCTCCGCTGGCCGGCGCCGCGGACACTGCCCCAGCTCGGGGCGGGAGGCGTTCGGGGCCGGGCAGAACCCGCGGGAGCCGCACAGCGCGGCCACACAGCCCCAGGCCAGGCAGGCGGGCAGCCAGGGGCGGCACCACATGTCCCCAAACCTCGCCCTCGAGAGTCACCTACGAACCCGGCCTGAAGGCACCCGCCCTCCAAGAGGGCGTAGGGGTGCCCGCCCGGCACCCCACCGGAGGGAGGTGGCGGCGCGGGGCTTCCGCGTCCGGGTCGCGGCGGTGCCGGGAGGCGGTGCCGGCGCGGCGGGGCTGGGGGACACCATGGCCTTGCGGTGGTGGTGGCGGAGCGGCGCCTGGTGCCGCCGGGCGCCGCCGCTCGGCTCCGTGCCGGGCCCCGGCCCCCGCTCCCCGCCGGCCCCCAGCGCGGCGGTGAGTGCGGCGGCGCCGGGCGGGCAAGGAATGAATGGGGCGGGGGGCGKGCGGGCACCCCGGGCCGCCGGTCTTTCGGCGTTCCGCAGCCTCCCGCCCGGGGAGAGCCAGGGCCCCGGGACGGCTCCCTGCCGGGGGGGTCCTTCTGGGGGCAGGAGCGGTGCAAGGTTACATTCCGGCACAAGGGTGGGAGCAGGGGAAGCGGTTCTCATTAGTGTGAGATTCTGAAAGCGTTTGTGTGTGTTAGCGGTGTGAGTGGTAATGGGACAGTTCTCTCGCTGCCGTGGTTTAGAGCTTCTTCACAAGGCCGGGCTGCGGTGCTGGCCGCGCTGAGGTGCTCTGGCGGATGTGTCCCTCATGTCGCACRGGCCGCTGGTACAGCATTAAGCTGCAGGGGAAAGGAGGGAAGTCTGTGTGTGCCCGCACTGAGGGAAGAGTGGAAAGAGATCAGCTATTTTTAACAACGACGCGGTGAGAGGTCCGAGAGAGCGACTTAGAAGGTCTCAGTCGTAGAGCTGGCCACTGAAGTCAGCAGCAGATCCGTGATAAGTTAGGGCTTCTCGCCTTCCCTGTCTCCTTGCATGGCCTTGTGTAAGCACTGAGGATGGCAGAGTGCCCTTGAGCCATTACAGTGCTTTTATTTCTCTCCCACTGTCCAAGGAGAGCGAGATCAAAATCCTCGTACAAGGACAGGTTGAGGCACGAGGAGCAGGGTTCCTTGAGCGTTTTTGTGTGAGTTTTTCCAGAGGTAGTTCGGTGAACACGTGGATTGCAGTGATTCTAGGTTGGTTCAGCCCAGCATTGGGCAGGGCTCCGTACTTCCTGGCAGTACTCCGAGGACAGAGCAAAAGCTGTACTTCCTTTCTCAGCCTGTATCTGCATTCCTTTCTCAGCCTGTATCTGCTGGAATCATGTACCTGGGACGGTGTCTTCCCCCAGGCTCCTGGGCTCTGTCTGCTGGGAGAGATCATTGGAGAGATTGCTGGGTTTGGCAGTTAGGTTCTGGAATTCTGGCAGTTCTAGTCAGTTGTAGAATACAAACAGCAAACTGAATTGAAATTGCTTCAGGGGAAAACAAGGACATGATTTTCTGTTAGCGTACTGGTTCACAAACAGCTCTTGTCTGTTTCTCTGTCTTGACTGGTGCAGTCCAGATTTATCTGCCAGGCAAGGAATGTTTGAAAATGGCAGCTTGCTGAAGTGCCAAAGCAAGGTTTTGGTGGAACAGCTTTGGTAATTTAGCTGATAAGCCTCCTGGGCTGGGCCAGCAAGGGGAGAAAGTCCAAYGCTCCTGGGCAGAACTGTGAGTTCAATGTGCCTGTTGGCACTCATGTCTCATGTGGCATGAAAAGGGATTATGAGACTCCCTTGTCTGCTGGCTTGTTAAAATGGAGAAATAGAGCAATGGTGATAGATACATTTTTTTGTGGTCAAATGTTTTCTGTCAGTTTAAAGTTCTAATAAACTATCCCTGGTTTTGTTTTGTGCAGATGTGTCACTTTACCCAAAGAAGTTCAACTTCCTTGTTTCCAAAAATATGTAATATATTTTGGCGGTAAGTTGGCAATTCATATTGTTTTGTAGTGGGTAAAGACATAGTTATTGGATGAACTGGATAGTTATACCTGTGAGCTGTAAACTTTGAAAATAAGGTTATTCACTCCAATATGTATTTCTGTGTGGACTGTTGCTGGAGTGCTGAGTTTGAATCTAAGTTGTCTCTTCTGGAGAGTAATGGGCAAAGCAGGAATGCTGCAAGAAAATACATGTTGAAAAAAACAGGTATTTTAGRAAAACAAACAGAAGAAGAAGAATAAACTTGAATCCAGGAAACAAACAAAAAAAAAATCACCTAAKCTAAATGCATCTTAAGGCATCCAGGTGGAGCTTTCACCCTTTTCTGATGAACTTTTGTAGCATCATCATGCTACCTAAAGTATTGATGTAATTTATTATATAGCTGAGTGTACAAAGGGAAAAATTTCAAATCTACGTCAGGAATATTTTTCCAGGAGTTTACAAGAGAGGAAAACTTGTAAACTCTCTTGAGAAGGAAGAAGGTAACAGMCTACCCAAGGGTTTATGATCATCAATACATAGCTTGCTGTCCTTGCACCTTATTATCTGGTTGAAGAGGGTGTTTTGATGGCTTTATATATTTTAGCAATTTGGTTTAATCTTGTGTGAGAGGGGGAGAAAGGGGGAGAAAGAAATGCTTTCAAATGTTTCTATTTGGGGAATCAGGGAAACCTGTTTTTTAACAAGACTACTCTTCATAAACACTGTCACCAGGTTTCATCATACAAGTACATCCCACTTGTGCAGCTGCAGTAAGACAATTAGTGATGAAAAATACCAAGAYCCTTTTCAACTTGGAAGAAAAGACTTGAAAAATCTCTATGAAGATATTAAAAAGGTAAGAGATTTTGGTGACTATTCTGGGATGTTGTGATGATTGCTTTTAATAGCAAACATCAATTTGGAGGATATTTGTGGGAAGAACATTTTATATTTATGAACAACTGTCTGAAACTTAAACTGAAGGCAAAAGGAGCATTTCTCATATTTTATAGAACCAGAAAGCAATTTTTYCTCCTGATTTGTGGTGCTGGAATGCATCATTTACCTTTCAGATTACTCATAGTAATTTTGAAAACAACTTCAGCTTACCCTGGGTGGAATGAATGCAGGCAATAACCTTATACATGCATACTATTTTACTTACATTAAATAGGTTGACTTTGTGCTTCTATGCTGAAATGCTCTYGTCATTTTTACAGGAATTGCTTGTCTCTGCTGCAGAACTTAAGGAAATGTGTGATTATTACTTTGATGGGAAGGGAAAGGCCTTTCGACCAATGATTGTGGTGCTAATGGCTCGGGCTTGCAACATTCACCATAATAATTCCAAGTGAGTCGGTCACTTTTAGATATCCACATCATACTTGAAAGTTATCATTCATGTGTTGCTGAAAAATACTTTATGAAAATAAAATTCTTCTCAGTAAAACCTGAATGGAAGTTCCATCTTGAAGCTGTATTTTTGTAGTTGTCAGTCCAAAAGGAACTGATGGCTTTATTAAGTGTTTTCATGTGTTACATTGTGGACTATATTGCACTTGTAACTGGTGGAAGATAAATAATGTTGCCAAATTACAGTAATTTGTAAGGCTTTTAGTCAATTCTGGCTTCTTACATAAATGCTTTATTAGAACCTTTAATACTCTTTGAAATATATATATAAGCTTAATTAAAAGTAATATATAGAAAGAAATATATAAGCTTAATTAAAAGTATTTTTCATTTGTAACCACTCCTGTTCCCATTAAACTCTGGTCACAGGTAAGAACTTTGCTTTGAGAAGGGAACTTCATAGATTTTTTTAGTAAYTATGCAGAAATTACTACACCGTTAAGTAGGTGGTGTGATTATATTCAAAGCTGTGAGACTTTGAAAACAGTCAAGAGGGKTTTTTTTGCCCTCTAGTAGCAAGTGTCTTTAATGTAAGATTCTAAGCTTAGAGATGGTGTAATCCTTATGATCTCCAAGTTACTTGTCTTCGGAAAGCAGTTTTAACTGAGGAGAACATCATGCTTGGCCTGTACTCTCTATCACTCCTTAGTCTGGCTCATTGCAAACGCTTCACTGCACATGTTCCTATTGACTGGTATGTTTGAATTTTGAGGAAAGAGGTTGGCTGGAGTGTTCTCTGCCTTCCAGCTATGCTTCCAGTCTTGCCTTGTATAGAATTTCAAATAGAAAATCTTTGGTCCCTTTCCAGAAGTGTTTCTAGACTAATTTGTCAGTCTTAAGGGATTTCTCTGAGCTCTTGCATAATTATTTTCTGTAGCAGTAGTTTRATGCCCTGTTGGACTCGATAACTACCTCAGAGCATGGCATGTGTGGATGGCCCCTCTCCCTGTACCCACTCATATGTGAATATAATTTTGAAGGAGAAAGCAAAACCTTCCTGGCAGYGTCCTGTCCTGTGTGTGCCAGTTCCCCTTGTTTTAGGAAAACATCATCCAGGATTAATGAACCTTGCTTCAACTGGATTCTTTTGTCAGTTCACGTCTGCTTCTTGTCATTGACTTTGAGATAGCAAAAGCAAGCATTTTCACTGGTTGTGAAAATCCTCAGGGATGCCTTTTGTCACTGACTGACAATATTTTCAGGARTGATCTCAACATGTTAAACAGGAGCGTGATGATGGCACTTTTTGCTGGTAGAAACTTTCTTRATGATCGGCCATCCATGGTGAAATGTAAGGAAGAACAATAAACCAAAAATTTCTGCCTGAGCTTGTAGGGTTATGGGTGTCCCATTAGAGTGTAACCCCAGTGTGGTTTGCAACCACCTTCTCTATGAAAAACCTCMAAGTCATCCTAGCATGCATCAACTGTAGTATATCCAGTTCARCTACAGGAATGTACATCACTTACTGAAATCAACAGTGTGCCTGATCYCTGTATTCCAGACAAGTTAAGTGAAGCTAGCTTCAGGCATGGATTGCGAAGATAATCATGAAGAATGAAGACTTGTGATCTACAAATTTATCAGGAACAGGGTGAAAGAGCTATTCAAGACAAAGCATTATGTTGCTAAGAGGATGGAAAGTTAGGAAACTTTTAACAACTGGAACACTGAGTTTCTGGAGCATCTTTTGAATCAAAATAATGGCAAAAATATTTTTATCTTTTTCTAGCCTGTAGCATGAAAGGCTTATGAACAAAATCATGCGTGCAATACTGTGAAGGCTGGAACTGATGYCATATAGTGTGGGAGTTGAACAGTGAATCAAAGAGAGTAGCAGTAGAAAGACTGAATTTACCTTTATTCTCAAAGCATTTTTGCTGTCTTTTGACATATGTATATGCTCATGGACATATTCTTGTCCACATGTTATGCTGTCTCAAAACTATCAGGATCAGTTTTGAGACCTGCCCTATGTCAGTAAGAAAATGCCACATATGCCTGGGGCAAGTGTTTGCTTTGCAGTAGCCAGCCCTCGGTGTAAGTCCTCTGAGTTAGAGATGCCTGTGTCATTTGGCAGTGCTTGTACATCTGTTGCAGTTTTAATCAGCACCTCTGAAATATGTTCACTGTTTAAAAGCCTCTTCAATAATCTGAATGTACCTTGTATAAAGCAGGCTGAGTCATTGTCTTTGTCGTGTTGCTTTTAGAATGGAGTTCTGAGTGGCAAGAACAGAAATGTTTCAGCAAAGGAATGGAATGAAATCTCRGGGTATTTACCTTCCTCTTTGTGCCCTGTGCCAATTYSTCTAGGCCTGTGATTGTAMTTAAATATCCCATATGTTGATACARGTCTTCACTGTGCATGGTGACCAACGTTTTTTGAGGGTTGGCAAGGCCATGCCAAAGGAATTTACATTCATATTGTGAATACCCAATTCCTGTGGGTTGATGAAGTTTTATGGGAATTTTCTTCTCTTGCTTTTAAGCTTCTTGAAGCAGGCTTTGGTTACCCCTGCTCTGTTTATACATACACTTCAGTTCACATTGATACTGTGATTGATTCATTATTGCTGTTTCTTAAAGCAGCATTGCCTCCAGGTAACAAATTCTTCTTCCAACTTCTTTGTTTTTGAGGAAAATTGTGTATGTAGAGAGGTAATACTGCATATTTTTAACTCTGCTACTCTTCTACAAATCTGAGGGGAAAAATACTTGCCTTCCATTCTGCTTTTCCCAATGTTTTCTTAAGATGGTTTTCCTCTTTCAAGTTGCCATTTCCCTTGAAGCATTTTATCATTCTTTTCTTCAGTTAATACTGATTCTTCTCCCAGGCTTGTTTTTCTTTGTTGAGGCTTTGGTTCCCACACATGTAATTGAAGACACTGCCCTTCAGTATCTTTAGACTTGTGGGGTGAGCCAATATCCTGTGCTGTTCATCCCTAGCTTTTTTTTTTTTTAATTTTTCCTCTGGGGTTTGTGTTGCTGATGTTTAGTTTCTGCTTCATCTTGCTGCCATTCTCARCTGTCATATAACTTGCTGGACCCAGCATGCTTTTGCCTGCTCTTTCATTTTGGGGTTTCTTTTCCATCTTTTGTGCAATACTTTTAAAAAAGATAATACTTGTTCTTGTTTGGATGTTAAAACAACAGGATTCAATTTAATAAGGCTACAGATCCCAATCTTACAAGGCAGTCCAGAGAGACCTTTTTCTCTTTACAGAGTCCCAGCAGAATAGCTGAGATCCCTGAAAAGAATGGAATTGAATGCCAATGTGGCTCTGCTTGCAGGTTAGGTGACATAATAATTTATGTTTAGATTTGAGGAAGGTGAGGTATTTACTCTWCCCTYAGCAGWTTAACTGTTCTTCTACAGTGAGGTYGCTTCATTGTGGTCATAATAAGGAAAATGAGAGTTGTATAAAGAATTATCTGAACTATTACTGAAAAGGTAGGAGACTAAAGGATTCAAATTGTTCTGTGCTGGGATATTGTTTCTTTTCTCTTTCAATTCTAAGTGTCAGAAGTCCAACCCTGAGTGTTTAAGCCCCTTGGGCAGTGGCTTTTTTGCTTATTGATAGCAACTTTGCTTTGTGTGAGAGTAAGAATTGCTGTCAATAGTTTAAGCTGAGGTCATGCAAACCCTCAATCTCACACRTCTACTGACTTTTCTTCACATAACCTGTGTGCAGAATTTCACAGAATTATCAGTTAGCCTGACAGGACCTAGTGTTTCTGTTTCTGTATTCTCAAAGGTGTTCTCAAATAAGGSTTTTTATTTCTTTTTCTGCAACCCAAATGAGAGAGACAAATAAGAGAGGGACAAAGAAGTACAGAGACAGTAGAGAAAATAGTGAGCATAAAGAATTCAGGGGGAGAAAAGGGAAATAAACTTACCAGAATAGTGAAAGAAACAAATATAACGACCTGGCTAAACTCAGTAGAATAATTYGTAAAGATAGGACCTGCCAGCAACCTTAGTTCCCATTTATTTCACTCCTCCAAACTGTTGTCAGAAGCCTGTGGTGTCAKCTGCTCTGCAGTTTTCTCCTGTGTTAACACATGCATTTTCTGTGCTTCCCCTGGTTTGTAGTGCTTTTCTGCATCACAGACTTTTTCTGAGATGGTTGTTTCTTTTGGCCACAGGGCCTTAAAAGCAGAACGGTGCTTGGAGGACTCTGGCCATTACACAAAAATTTTGCAACCTCTATTTCCTCTCCTTAACCTGGCAATATTTACTGACTTGCCTCCAAGCTCTTTGTGGTAAAATGTGGTTTGTGTGGTCTTGAGTTCCCGCCTCACCACTGTTGGGTGCTTTTGGTTGKTTTTTGTTTTGKTTTGGTTTTGGACAGGGATATTTGGAGTGAGATATCTGGGGTTTTTTAACCTGTATGGTCAACCTTGGTTTGTTCATTATTCATGAAACAAGTTCTGTAAAGGAAAACATCTCAGGGTACAGTAGATCTATAAAACTATATCACTGAATCAAGCTAGGGATCCTACTGAAAAACAGAATATGATCAGTTGTATAAAACATCTGTGTAAATATACATCATCATGGGGTGTCTTTAAGAATGATCTAAAAATGGCATCTTTCCACTTACAGGATCTGTGGGGACCCTGTTATCTATTGACTTGAGTTACTGCCACTTTTTGCTTTTGTTTTGCAGGAGAAGCTGAATGAAAAATGGCAGGGAATGAGAAGGATCTKGGGGGTTTGTGTGTTTTCCCCTAAAATAGGTGTGCTCTGATTTAGAATTAGTCTCACAAGGTGCATATAGGAAAGTATTTTAGACATTTTTTTGCCAGCAATGGGAAGAATGTTGCTTGAGACTTTGTGGAAATAGTAGTTTCAAAAACCCTTCAGATTAAATTATCACATTTGATACAACATTCTGGAAACCAGACACATGAACCATGAGYATTCCTGTGCCATTTTTAGTCATTGTCAGAGATGAAATACACTATAATGCAGAACTTTTCAAAACCTGCTTTTGAAATAACTGGTTTTGTGTTGTCTTCATACTACTGAAATATTTCAGTGTGACAGTGAGTGTTGCCATTTACTGCTGCTTCCCAGCAGGAAATCCAGTCTGCTGACATAATTAATGAAAAAGGGAATCCCCAAAAGGAGAACAGTGCATGAAAGAGGCTGGAGACCTTTACAGTTTTTTGAAGGTAAGTTTTCTCCTACTTAGTAAAAGTAGTTTATTTTGGAAAACTATTTACACTGAACTAGCATTTGATTAAATTACTAGTTCACATTAAGACTTGCCTTCAAACAGCCATGAAGGTTTCCAGCTCTTATCTTCTGTTGTGTAAAAGCCATATATTCACAGTCTATGAGYTACCCATTTGTCCTGCTATTGTTCAGGATGTAAAACTCCCACTGACACCAGTGAAGAATTCTGTATAGAGGTAGGTGTCAGAACACAGTGTTGTGTCAGCAGACTGCAAGATGTTCTTTCAGTGTGTGATTAATCACTACATTTTAATGGACATAGGCAGTGCAGGAAGGCTTTAAATTCCCTTCAGCTAAACTAAAATTATCATCTTTTGTTTTAGTTCTTTTTCTGTTCTGCTCAAAAAAATAGTGTGATTTTTTGTGTTGTCTGTATACCACAAGTAGGGTCTCTATAAATCAGAAGTAATTTTCTTCTTTGGTTGTGTTTTTTTTTTTGTTTGTTTTACTGGTTTGTGTATGGGTTTTTAAAATGTCCATATGGGCTTGTTACACCTATGAGGCAAGACTGACTGGGAGAGCCATATCTGGGATCCTGCACCATAACCCATGATGAGAACACAAGATGGATACTAGAACAAGAYAGTGGCAGTTCTATACTAAGGGAGATATAGTGTAAGCTAGGTTGGGTCTTTTATGTGCTTTTCACCAGTCTTGTTTCAGAGATAATTGCTTCTGTGTTCTTCCATTACCTTCTTTTCACCTAGTTTAAAACATGAGGTAGGTGTGAACTACTGAGAGTTGAATCATCAGTGTTAGAGCTTCCCAAAGGCTGAATTCCTAGTGTTAGGTAGTTGGTGTTTACATTCCTAAAATGGTTGCAGTGTAATTCTAGTTAATTCCTCAGGCTTCTGAAGAACCTCTGAGGTTTTAAGGTAATCAGATAACATAAAGGATAAGATCCATGAGTTATGCCTTTCAAATGTAGAATACAGGTTTCTGTGCCTTGTGATCTTTCCAGATTGCTGGTTAGTAGTTATCCAGCTTTAGAGAGTTTGTCATGCCAGGTTTGTGGGTAGAGCAACACAAAAATAAGGAAAACTTAAAATTCATCTATAAAGCTGCCTGGTATTCTTTTGTCTGCTGTTTTCCAGCTTTCARTCTTGGAGCCAAGCATCCTTGATGCTGTGCTATTTATTGCAGTCTGGATTTAGAGGGATTGAAGTCAGTAACACGGGAGTTTTGCAGTGTTGTTAAAGCAGCAATGTAGAAACAGGCCAATAAGGACAGACACATCCCTCTGCACTTACTGTACTTAATGTCATCTTACTTTCTCTTGTCTTCCTAATTCCAGGTTTGAAAGAAGGGGGTCAGACCATGAAAAAGCTGTGACATCTGTTTTCAGAGAAACTATTTTTTGTTTCGTTTTCAATAGAGTTTTTTTTAGTGTATTGTAGCATATGTAATTGATTTAATTTTGACAGTTCCTGTTTTTTATTTTAGGGAGGTGCATGCAAGCCAGCGYTCTGTGGCCATAATTGCTGAGATGATCCACACAGCCAGTCTGGTTCATGATGATGTTATTGATGATGCAAATTCTCGCAGAGGAAAAAGAACACTTAATCAAATCTGGGGAGAGAGGAAAGTGAGTTCACTAATAAGTRCAAGACTTGCCTTTGAGTTTCAGTAGAGCACAAATACCTAGAGGTTTGTAATGTTACTATCCCTAGGTCTTGGGATATGTCAGAAAAATATGAAGAGGTGTGCACAGTTTGTGGGTGAGACAAACATGTTTTCATTTTCTRAACTGTTGGAAGCATTAGATAATGAATGATGGAAGTGTGTAAGTGTTGGTTCAAGAGAATGGCCAGTTAGAGAAGTAATGTTCAAAAAACTTCATAGGCAAATCATGTTCAGGTACTACATACAGGGAGGACAGTGCTTAAAACAGAAAAATATAAACAGCACTATAAGATAGGGTTTAAAAAATTATTCCAATTTCTTTGTTTAGTTATCTGGTTTTTCTCTCTTACAATGAGATATTTGTGCATTATGTAGGAAAGTTATGTGATATGAGTAGATCTGACAAATAAAGGATATTGTACTATCTGTAGTAACACAGGAAAAGGCTTAAGGGATCAACTTTTGTTGTTGTTTTTCTTAGGCTGTTCTCGCTGGTGACTTCATCCTCTCAGCTGCTTCTGTAGCTTTAGCACGAATTGGAAATACCACTATCATCTCTGTTCTAACTCAGGTGATTGAAGATCTGGTGCGTGGTAAGGTCTTTTCCTATTTTTATCTTCAGATTTGCTTGCTTTAGCAGTAAACCCACAAATAAAACCTCCCATCTGTGTAACCTTTTAGGTGAATTCCTCCAGTTGGGTTCCAAGGAAAATGAGAATGAGAGATTTGCTCACTACCTCGAGAAGACTTTTAAGAAGACGGCGAGTCTGATAGCAAACAGTTGTAAAGCAGTATGTACGTCTGTCTCTTCTGAAGTTAACATACCATACTGTAAGCTTCACAGCTAAACCCCTAGTTACTGCTGTTTGCTCTGGAGATCCTCCAAAGCAAACCCTTGAAATGGTATTCTGCCAGAATGTCAATGGGTTTGAGATTGTGAATTTTATCACAGTTCAGCTGTGTAGCCTCCAATACTGGTTTTAACTTTTCTTTGCATTTTTTATTTATACACTGATTTGTTGTTAATCTCATTTGAATCAAAATAAGTTTCAAATAATCAAAACAGTAATAGTCTTTAATTTAAGAAATTCTGCAACTTTGAGACAGTGGTTTTAATCTCAGTTCRTCATTTTTGAGCCTATAATTTGACTTTGGCATCTGGCCCTACTCATTGGTGCTGAGTGAGACCTTAAATGGTAACAGTGGGAGGAAACAATTAATTCATAGAATCACAGAATATGCTGAGTTGGAAGAGACCTGTCAGGATCATCAAGTCCAACTCCTGTCCCTGCACAGGACACGCCAAGAATCATACTTTGTGCCTGAGAGTGTTGTCCAAACACTTCTTGAGCTCTGTCAGGCTTGGTGCTATGACCACTTCCCTGGGGAGCTGTTCCAGTGCCCAGCCACCCTCTGGGTGAAAAACRTTTTCCTGGYATCTCTTCATCATATTGTGAAAAAACAGAAGCATGTACTACTTGATTTGTCTGGGGGGCTTTAAGCATCAGTTGCTATATCCACCCTGTTACACAGTTCTGTTACTTGATCACAAAAAGATRCAATTCAAGATTGTGTTCTTACTGAAAAATACATGTTCCATTTTAGTGCAGAAAATGAAGGTGGGTAATAATCTCACCCAAAAGAGAGTTTTACTCCTTTTAGTGAAAGGCAGTGTAACTGATGGATTCTATAGCAAGAGGGAGTTCTAAGAGAATTAGACTAAAAATCTGTGCTAGTGTTAATCATCTTCCTTTGTTCTCAGAGAACTGGTACATTTGTGCAACAGACAGCAGTTGAAAATTGCTTATATCAAAAGGATCACATAGAATGAGGCACRCAGATTTTGGGGGAGGGAAAATAGCTTTCATTCTAGTTGGAGGAAAGAAATTAAGTCTTCTGAATTGTTTGTATTAATGGCAATGTGACCCTGATAATTTTCTTTTGCAAGTGCTWTTTTGTATCAGTAGGCACCTGGATTAGTAAAGAGGATCGCATTACTCTGTTACCTCAGTAAAAACACGAGTTTTAATTTTCAATTTGACACTCTAAAATAATATTTTGGATTCTTTAAAATCTAAAGAAATCACTGGGTGGCTTCTCCTTACATATGTGCTAATTTAAGCTTTTTCGTTTTCATGACTTGAAAGAGCTAAGGATTTAAGCACTTCCCTCGAGATTGAAGTTGTAATGCTGGTGAAGGGRATGTTTGGCTGCTTTTCTTCTAGTGGCTGGTCTGAGTTGTTCCWTTGCTGAATTGCTGGAATTTTATATGCTGTAAAATTTGTGTTATAAAGGAAAACCAAGAGGGAATGYCTGTCTTTATGGGAAATCCTTACTTGCTGCACATAGTACCAATGAGTTGAATATGTATGTCTCCCTCAGTTTCTTTCTGCATGGATTAGGAGAGCTCTGTTGACAGCAGCTAAAAGGGATTTTTTTTGTTTGGGATTTGGGGGGTTTTGGTGCATGTGGGTGTTGAGATATTTTTGTTTAGATGGCTTTGGCTACTGAGGAAATGGAATCAGGAGGGAGTTCTGTTTTCTGTAGAAAAAAAATAATAAGCAGGATCATCAGTTCTAGCTAGAAAGGAAATTGAGTTAGGGAATCAAGAGTATTCATGTCTTGTTTTCAGGGACAAAACTAAAGGGAGAGATTATGGGTTTTAAAAGCAGTTCAGTTCTGTTAATGATAGGGAGAACTGATTTATTGCTRTGGTTAAGTAAAATACAAGCATTAACTGGAAAGAAGATGTCAAACAAGTTCAGGTGGCACCTTAGAATTTCATSGTGCCATGCTTTAGAAATGGAAGAATAGAGTATTCCTGGAAAAATGTCTGAACAAGAGATAYACTCTAATAGATACAGTTTGTACCATCAAAGCATTACTGCGTTTAAAATAAAATCCTTTAAGTTAGGACTTAAAAACATAACAGTCTGTTCAGGATGTTAAGAGCCATCCCAGTCTCCAGTTTATTTCTACAATAGTCCTGCATGGGGGTATCCAAGTTTYAATCAAAGTGTATTGTGAAAGGAAACAGTGGCAGATGGCCCAGAGAGTCACTGAAGCCTTRGTTACTGCAAGGCATTTTTCAGAGAAACATGAGGTGACTTTAGTTCAAGAATTCAGAAACAATAAAGCTGAAGTGGAATTTCTGTTTAGTCACCAGGCCAGCTGGAGATAGCAAAATAACTTGCKCAGGTTTTCTGTGTTTTTTAAACCCTGCCATAATGTGAATTTCTGAGCCTCATAAAACTGGTTATATTTTGCACAGTACACTTTCAGATGAGGGATTAAATCATGCTTGCTTTGAAGTAAGCGTAAGTTTGAACTAGAGATTCTTGATTTCTGTATTAGGAGGAGGCTTGTGCATCCATGTGCAAGGCAGGGCTGTGGAAGGGACTGAAGAAAGCAATAGTCTGCAAGTCTGGATCTAGCTGTGAGCTTCTGCTGTAACTGGTTCCTAGTTTGGTGTGTGGTGTGTGCACAGGGCTCCATCAGAAAGCCCTACCAGCGTGTGGAACTGATGTCTAGGAAAATAAGACCTCTGACACCCATCAGCAGAACTGAATCCTCCCAGCCCAGGTGGGCCTGCAGACTGCATTAATGTACAATGGCAGATGTGGCATTATGTATAGCATCAGTAGTATCAGATATTATGGTCAGCCAGTAAATCTCCTTCTTTATTATTTAAAATACAGTAAGTCCTTTGGGGGTGTTTCTTCTTTATAAAGTTTGCTGTGAAAAAGATTAGAATAAGTATATGACATATATTCAGGCAGATAATCTTCATTACTGAAAAGTACAACTCTGCATAAACAAGTACTTGGTTAACCTGTTAAAATATTTATTACTTGAGAAAAAGTCAAAGGCATGAAAATGCAGACTCAGGACATGATAGTTGTCTGCCTTGTGCAGACATCTCCCTCTCCCAGGGTGGCCTCCATCACCCCCTCCTCAAGAGRGGTTCCCAGGAAGGTTTGAGGAGCAGAGGAAGTCAGTGGCATTCCTGGCAGCAGTGAAGGATGAACACGAGGAGTGTGCAGCACTGCCAATGCAGCAGCACGTCCAGGCCTGGCTGTGAGACCACAGGGCTGGGCTCCCCCATACAGGACACACAGGGACACTCTGGAGGGAGTTCAGTGAAGGGCCCCCGTGAGGGTAGGGGCTGGAGCAAGTGATGTGCCAGGGGCTGGAGCAAGTGATGTGCCAAGAGCTGGTTTTAGTCTGGAGTAGAGAAGGCAAAGGGGGAATCCTCTTGCTGTCTCCAGCTTGTAATTGGAGGGCATAGAGAGTGTGAAGAGATGCAGTGAAAGGACCGGTTGTGCTGTGGAGAAATTCAATTGGGTTTTAGGAAAAATTTCTCCATTAAATTGGTCAAACATTGCAACAAGTAGCTCAGACAGTGTGGGATTTTTCATCCTTGGAGATACTCAGAAATCAACTGGACACAGCTGTGAGAAGCCTGATCTAACTATGAAGTAAACTCTCCTTTGAGCAGATGACTTTCCAACCTAAACTATTCTGTGACTCTCCTGGAAAGAGAAACACTCCTCCTGTCTAGAAAAAAAGTGGTGGATGAGCCAAGAGTGAGAAGGCAGGAACCTGACTGCTTGTGGAGATGGGCATGGAGGAGAAAGGCTGGGAAATGGGAAGATTTTAGAGCCTTTTCCTTCCCATACAGTCCACAAATCCAGGAGTGCAARAACAAACATCTCTTGTAGTGTTTATTCAAGCATGTTCTGGCCCAGCAGCAGATTTTCCTCTCAGACCTAGAGAGCACTGGTGGAGATGTGCAAGTGCTTTCAACTCCAGATGCCATATTAAATATAGAGCAGAATGTATCTACCCAGAGCTGATGATAYATTTTATGGATGTGAAATTCAGTAAAGAGGCAAAATTAGTTTATAGTYTCTCATAATTTAACAGAAACAACTTTTCATCGTGAAAAGTGTGTTTGAAATTACACCAAGCAGATTGTCTTGCTTTTTTGAATTCAAAGAATCTTGCCTTTTGAATTCAAAGAATTTGTTCCACTCAGTATTAGGAAAGATTTTTCATCTTGATTTAGTGGAGGACAAGCCTGAATTCTTGGAAGATTTGTCATCAACCAGTCATATCTGTTTGGGGAGCTATAGGGTATTTTCAAAGCGGCAGCTTGATCCTCTAAATACATGTCCCTGTATTGACTTGGTTGTCCTCATTCGTATTTGCAGATGCATGCTGTTACCCCAGTACATGACCCCAGTACATTATCCCAGTACATTATCCCACTACAGCTCCAGTTCAAGTCCATGTGGGACTGACAGGCTGCCTGGCTGCAGCCCAGCCAGTGTCCAGCTGGGGGCAACAATCTACAAAAGCAGATTGAGAAAGTGCATCCTGAAGGAACTCCCTGCTGGACACGACTCAATCATTGCAGGTTTATGATGTCATGGTCAGAGGTTTTGGATGACTTGAGGATGAGCTATTGCTTGAGGATTACTGGCAAATCAAATCTGAAAATTTAAATTTTTTTTTGGTCTTATTTTTGTCTATGAACAAGAAATGACCTTTCAGATTAAATGAGGAARCTCTTCACATGACAGTTCCTCTTACCCAGCTAGTGGCCACTCTAACCATTTGCCATTAACCAGGATTTTGTCATAATTCCATATTTTAATCCTCCACATGGAATGAAATGTGGTGGTAGGGAAGGATTTCATTGAAACAGGGTAGATGCARTCTCTGCCTTGCTGATATTATGTGATTTTATGTGAAGCATTCAAATGTTAGGTCTTTGGGCAAATACTGCTATTTAATATACAAGCATCAAAAGGAGGATCAAAGGGCAAAATGTTCCACTTTGATAGTCTCTAGCAACATCTATTTAAATATCTCATATTTGCAGTTCACTCTGTTTAACAGCCTTGAGGATTTTGTATGATTATTAGGGATAAGTAGCATTATTTTCCTGCTATACTGTCCTTTTAAATAAAATTGGAGAATGTATGATGCTGTTAATTCCTCTCTCATCCGGATTCCTCTGGGGTTTAGTTATTATCCATAGATGCAAGTTTTTACTGGGAAGTTCTGATGCTCAGATATGAAGTGCACTGATGCATGAAGTAATCTCTCATTTTGTGCAAGTTGATTCACATTTATTAGGATATAATGTTGTTTATTTCCATCTTCACATTCACCTTCAACGCTACTACTGGAGTTGCTTCTAATTTGGGTTTGGTTTGGGGATTGGAGCTTTTTATGATCCTACCTTACATAGWTTCAAAGAGGAATTTATATATCTATGTATTTATATATATTTATATATATATATATATTTATATATATGTGCACACATACATACATATGTATTTTTATATTATGTGGCTTTCTTAGCATGTATTTTTAGTCTTAAGTAAAATGCATTTTCACTCTTTGCGTTAGTCATAGCAGATTCAGAATGTCTGCAATAAACCAGGGTGGCTTTTTGTCCCCTGTTCCGAGTTCRTTTATTGAAGGATTAAATAAATCTGAGTATTTAAATTTCACCAACCTCATTTTGTGAAATGTATAATCAGTTGTAAATGCAAAAAGCATAAATGCTCTTACTTTGAAGCAAAATATTAATTCTCAAACCTTAGTGTCCTGTATTTTAGTTTTGTGGATTTGTTCAGCAAAATTTCTGTCTCTCAAGTAGTTGATTGGACATTCAAGTAAAATGTTGTTTATCTTTGTCAGCTTGGTGTGCTTTCTTCATTTGCTGTCTTTTCTTTGCCACTAATTATCCATCAGYACCCTTGCCTGCAAGCTAATCAACTCATCTTCCTGAGCAAGTCAGATACAGTTATCATCACCTTAAAAATAATTGTCCTTATCCCAACTGCCSCTCCTGTACTGGGTTCAACATACCCAGCTTTGTGATCTTTTATGAGACATGTAATGTCTATTTATCTGTTGTCTGACCTCCAATTATCCCTTGGCTGATTTAARTATGTAATTAGGTTGATTTCCCCATCACTGGGCTGTATATGACTACTACCCTGCATCAACATTTCTTCTCTCTTTATCCTTCCATTATAATTTCTAAGTCTGATAAATATTTAATGAAGCTCATCTCTTTGCAGACTTGAATGYTGTTTTAATACTGCACTGCTGTTCTTGTTTTCTAGTAAGCTTGGCTAGTTGTGTCTCCATGAACAGAGATAAGCAAGAATGTGCCCGAAATCAGCTTTTTTTTGCTTGTGCCAGATTCCTCCTGCCTGTGCTGGCTGTCAGACCTATGGTCAGGGGCTAAAAGTGGATGCTAACTAAAGCTTTCTATTTACTTGGGTTTTTGTCTTTTCAGGTTTCAATTCTAGGCTGCCCTGATCCCAAAGTTCATGAGATTGCATACCAGTATGGAAAAAACGTTGGCATAGCTTTTCAGGTAGCGTTTTTGTTGAACTAAATGGAATCTAAAATCTAAACTTCTCCAAAGTGCCTTAGAAATCAGAGTGGGCTGTCTTAATTCTTCCTACAAATCTTGTCTTTAACAAGGATTATTCTGTATTTAGTTCCAATTTTCAAAAAGAAAGTTTTAAACCATGTATTTATTTTTTCCAGCTAATAGATGATGTGCTGGATTTTACATCATGTGCCAACCGAYTGGGGAAACCAACAGCAGCAGATCTCAAGCTTGGATTAGCCACAGGCCCTGTCTTGTTTGCTTGTAGACAGGTAAGTGAGCAGAAARGGGTTTCCTCAAAATAAAAAAGTGTAAACCATTCCTCACAGAATCAGCTGAAACATCAAATCTCCTGTGTCAGTGATGAGTGTGGCCTCGGCAAATGTGACAAATCAATTTGTTCAAGATCAGATGGATTCTGTGTGCACACTCAAGTTCTGTCAGGCTGAGAAACACCTTCCTGCACAACTCTACTATTAGGCTCTTGTAGATATTCACAGAGTTTTAGCACATTTTCTGTAGGTTATTCTGAAGCAGCTTCTTGCTTGTGTTCTCTCTTGAGACATCTTGTTCTTCCCTGGCTTGACTATGTATGTAGGTTTTTTTTGCCTAGATCTGGGCTTTGTATCCATCCAGACGCCAGGAATTAAAATCCCTGCCTTGCTTCTAGGTGGTTACCTTTATTTATTGGATTTGATTCTCTTCATCTCTTTGTCCTCAAGTATTAGCCAGTTACAAACATGGGTAGCTTTCCTGTCTGAAGGCTGGATAAGAGAAAAAGGAGTGTCATACATAAAACAAGCTCAAAATTGGTCAAGATTTTCAGTGCCTTAAAAATAATTTGGAGGAGCAGAAAAAAAAACAACTGTGAGCAGCACAAAAAGAACATTAAAATTGGTGCTAATCCATAAATGTGTAAAAAACCTGGTTTAATTCCCCTTACTCAAGTGTCTTGTTCACCAGAAGAAAGCAAATTTGGGACTTAAAAAGCAGTCCTTTCTACCCTACCAGGCTTCACAGTGTGATACAAAAACTGGCACAGTTAGTTCCAGCAGAGCTCTCATCTCTGATCTCTCAGTGGAATTGCTTAGAGCTTGACATGGGAAAAGTTTTAAATCATTTAAAAAAAACAACTTTGACATTTACTTCCCTCTCTTAAAGAGCCTGGGGTGGGGGGAGGTGGAGCATTCACATCTGTTTGCTTCTTTATCCTTTGGGCATTTACAAGGATCCAGATCTCAGAAAAGACAGGGAAGCACAAACTATCAGCCAATTGACAAAGCAGATGAATGCATAATGAGAACAACCTTCTCCATGTCCTCAGTGTCACCCCACTTACTCGTCTTCACAAGCATATTCTTGAATCATTATTTCAGAATTGTGCCATCAGCAATTGTAGCCATCRAAAGAACAGTAAGAGTCGGAGATAGAGAGAGAGGATGGAATCATGGAACTGCTTTTGTGTGTGCTAAAGCCACATGTAGAAAGAAACAAAGCATATTGCAARTACTCAGTTTTGGCAGAGAATGGGTGACATTCACTGTCTCGTGGGTGTTGAATATTCCAATTTTTAAATCAAAATTATGCTTTATTAATTTGTTTGGGTTGTCTGTCTGTGACTTTGAACTTTTAATTAGTTTTACAAGATTAATTAGTTCATCATACAGAAATACAAGAAAAGAAAATTTGGCAGTCCTAGTTTAAAATCTTGTTCTTTGTAGGTGACTTCTAAATGCTTTTCCTCACATCTTTGAAGGATGGGAAGTGTTATTTTTGCATTGAAAGATAACTTTACCATCTTATTAAGTTTCTGCATTCATGAAAAGGCTTCTTTGCTCATAATTTCCTGCTGCTTTCAACAAACTGGAAGAACAGCACTACAGACTTAACTGATACATAACCAAAGCACAAGTGCTAAAAAATGTGGAGCTTCAACAGACACTTACATGTSCTGCTACTAAAAGACACTTATATCTGAGAAAAAAAAACTGAGGAGGCAGAACTTCAAGACACTCCAAAATGTATTTATTAATGATAGGCTGTCTTTTCAGATTAGTATTACTGCTGTCCTTTCATGTAGCAGGTACTCGAGTTGGTCTCCCTGACAAACATTGGTTGGTTTTTAATGTGCTCTGCATCTTCAGTGACAGATGTCTTTTCTTCCTGTCCTCTCCCCTCTCTCTGAAATACRTCTTGGTGCATTAGAATATTAAGAAAAAAATGTTTAACTTGATAAGAAACCTATCTGTTCAGTATTTAAAATTTGGTCACTCAGTAGAAAAAAACGCACGCCATTTATTTTTTAAGGAAATACACTAGTATATGCTAATCCTAAAGCTACTCTTAAGTTATAGAATGAGGGTTTATTTTTATTATAAGCATTGCTGTCAAAGGCTGATGTGCTGCCCACTAAATAGGCAGAGTTAATAACAGCTCTGCCTTACAAGTTTGGGGGTTTCCTGTCCTTTAGTGCTTAAATATAAAAAGTGATCCCATATACATCCTATATAATTGTAAATATGAATAATGTGAAAATGGATTGCATGAACACTGCAATTAAATTGTCATTACCTGGGAAGGAAACTAGGATCTAGAAAAATCCATGACTTACTCTTTTAGATAAAATATGAATCAGCACTAACCTGAACGTATCTCCAAGACTATGTATGAGTAATAGGAAAATGCCACAACAGAGGAGTGCTACATATTCATACCTGAACAAGGTTGTAAAGCTGCAGTTTCAGAACCAAAGGTGCGCAAGGAAAGCAGAGCATTGTTTACAAGTGTATGCAATAAAATCATCTTTGTTTGACTCTACTTTCACACAAGATGAACAAGCAGCTCTTTCCTTTAAAAAGAATTCTTCTGTAGAGTAGCTGCCTTGAGTTCAGGCCTTAGTTAAGCACTAGGTTTTTCTGTTTCTAGGCTGTCTGAAGAAAGAGGCTGCATATTCAGATGAGTGATGTGATCTTAATACAACTAATAACTACCTGCTTTAGGGAATTGAGCATGAAGTGCTAACTACAAGTGCCACATGGCTGAAAACAATAGTTGACTTCTTTTCTGTTATTAAAAGAAAATCTGTTGTGAGTTTTCCTCAAACAGAGTTGGTGTATATAAAATACCAGCACAATGGAAAACATAAGTGGATGTAACAGCCAAAGTTACCATGAGTGGCTTTTACAAGTTGAACTGTGCAATGCTGCCACAACAAACATCCTGGGTTCTTTTGTACATGTGGGGAAGAAGTGCWTCTTCTAAGAGTGTCAACACTAACCCTCACTGGTGATAGAAGAATATCTGATGCAGATTATACACCAGGTAGTAGCCACATCAGAAATTACCACACTGTAGCATCTGCTTAATATGATAAAATGGCAGGTGCTGACTTCTACTACCAACTGGCTACAGCCAGCAGAGCCAGACCATTAAAGTTTTAAATGCTTGGGCTCTGCTGTACTGTAGCCCTGTGCAGGCTGCAGGTATGAACCTAAAGCTATACCTGTGATAACATCAATGACAGGGGAAGAGGGCTGTACTTTGGAGTCATACTGATCTTAGCATGGCAGGAAGCTACAAGGAAAACCACTCAAAAGCAAGGAYAAACCTTTCTCCCTTTGTGCTTAGTTTCCAGAAATGAATGCTATGATAATGAGGAGATTCAGTAAGCCAGGAGATGTTGAACGTGCACGGAAATATGTGTTGCAGGTAAGACTGATAAAAAGTATTTCTGCTGTCCCTGCTGCTCAGACAATTCATTGTCTCCAAAGTAAAAAAGCAAGGCTGCCTTGTCAAATGGCTGCTGAGTAGCATGCAATGCACAATGCCAGGTTAGAATACTTCAGCTCTCCTACTGGCACAGTATTCTAGCAGAAATGCTAGGGGCACTGAAGAGCTTATTTTTTTTTCCTCCAATAGCATGAAATCCACATAATAATAAGAAAAAAGCTCACGCGCATGAACTCTGTTCTTTTAGCTGAGCCGTAGCTGTATCCATCGGCTGGTATAAGTGGCTTGTAATTACCAGTCAGTCAGTCAGTGTGCAGTGCACACCCCATACCAGTTTTAATTGACTCTCATCTAAAAAGAGTGAGTAATGGTCTGCAAAATTAATACCTCTTTTTCAGAAGCATGGGTTTTTTTGTACATCTCTATTTAGGGCAGGAGGGGAAAGGTTACACCATTAATTTCTATTATGTTATTAATACCAGTACTGTTTTGTAAGTACACTTACATTTAGCATGGATGAGTTTTACTATTTTGATAGTTTGGGGAAGGTATATGGGATTCCATGATTACAGAATGAATTCTCTTCCTTTCCCCTTCAGAATATAATGTGTTAGGGTATTTACTGACCTTAAAAAATTCACCCTGTAACTGGAAGAGGCAAAAGGCAGGAGGAGGCTGATCAGGTCTCCCATCCCCTTTCTGTGTCTCCTTTCCTCAGAGTGATGGTGTGCAGCAAACGACCTACCTCGCCCAGCGCTACTGCCAYGCCGCCACGCGTGAGATCCGCAAGCTGCGGCCGTCCCCCGAGAGAGAGGCCCTGGTGCACCTGACAGAAATGGTTCTCATGCGAGACAAGTGAGAGAACTCCTTCCACTCATTCTGGCAGCTACTTACCAGACTGTGCCTACATTTATTTCAAAAGTTACTTGCTTCCAACACAAGCTACCAAAAATTATTTTTTTAAAAAAAAACCTTTTTCTTTTTTTTGAAGTTTTCTTTTTTTTAAACAARAGTTTAAAGTGTTTTACTGCAGGAAGCCATGCAATTCAGAGCAAATCAAACTGTGCTGTACAATTGTTTTAGCGGGGGCTATTGATTGTGGGGGATGGGGAAGATGTTTACATGTTGATGCACAAAGGCCACAATGAGAATAAATATAAATCAGTGTATGAAAACGGAAGCTGTTCCAAATTTCACTTGTTTAATAAACAGASCATGCAGGCACAGGAGCTGGTAAGCTCTGGTGAAGAGAGATGGTTTGAATGCTTCCCTGGCCCTTTAACAACAGAAGCACCTGGAATTGTATATAGAGATACTGGTTTACTGTAAAAGACTACATCTAGATTTTAATTGGTTATATACATCAATGAACTCCAATTCATGCTAGTGGCAGCACGTGCTAGCAGTTAACATGATGCAGAATTTGAGATTGCTACCAAAATGAATGTTTCCATTCAGGAAACCAAAGCCTCAGTATTTCTATCTCATACTAAAAATGAATGATTCACCAGGTAGTCAAACCTGCAACTCCATCACTCATTTATAGAATATATTCAGTACCCTCCTAGGACCCTGCTTTGAAGTTCCAGACATTCCTCTCACAGTAATTACCCAGCACTACCACATTCCTTTTCAGATTATTTCAGCCACAGAATCTGTAGAACAGGGAAGCACACCCTCTCTGGCTATTTCTGCCTGTGATCCCTTAACACAATGGCCAGGTTCCTGTCACGTGTGTTCCCCCGGGTGCTATCTGGAGGACAGCCTGCTCCCTCTGCTTGGTGGGGCACGTTACAGAGCCACACAGAGAGAGCTCCCACAGAGAGCTGTCAGATACAGATGATGTCCAACTTACTGCATCCCSGTAACGAGATTAAATCAAAAACCCTCGCTAAAATTAAASKTKGSMRRAAARRAMYTTTWARRWGTATGTATAAGTGTGTAATTCAGGTTTCAGATCTAATTTATTTGCCCTCTGTTGGTGATAAAGTCATGTTACAAACATTTGCTTTTTAGTACATTGCCTGGGGTAACACAGCCGTGATTTTGCTACGTTAGCATTCCAAACTTCTTTGCCAAGCCAACCAACAAAGTAATGGACAAGACCTTTGGTTCACTTATATATTTATGAATGGAAAAAGTCATAATGTAAATTTACTCATTAAAAAAACTTGGGTACAAATTACACATACATAAAGACCACCCATTTTTTGAATCACATGGACACCTTAGACCCAAACAACTCATTGTAATAGACTTTAGTGAGAATACTCAAAGATTACAACAATTGGAAGCATCTTGGATTTTTAAAAAAGTATATTTCAATACATAAGTTTGTATGCATGCTTTAAACAAATATAGTTCAAGAATGAGCAAAGAGTCTAAACAAAAAGTAATATGACCAGCACTAACATTAAACTTCTCATCCAGGTTTTAATATGTTAGTCTAACGTAGTGTTAGTTACCATGCTGTACTGAAAAATGTAATGGCACAATCTGATCATGGTTCATTAAATATTATACCCTACTTCCCCATTATATTTAGGCTGGTCATAAAATTAACAATGCATAAGTAAATAAGTATAACCAGTTATAGACAGTTGCTTGTTTTACAAATTGCCATCAGGTAAGACATACTGCCCCCAGAGACTYAGAGATGGACATTCAATCATACCATTAAAACAGTATGGCCTGAAGAAATGGGCACAATTTTTTGAAAGTATATTAAGACAATTCTGTTAGCTTTTAGTTACCCCTTGTAAATAATCATGGTATGACTTGAATACAAGACCAAACTTTGAAAAGCAAAGGATTTTAATCGGCATAGTGCATGATTGATTCAACATAATTCCCAGGAAACAAGCCAGTTACTCGATTGCAAACTCCTTCATACCAGCCATCATCGTTCTTCTTTATCACATAAATGATTGCACCCTCCATAAACGACAGCTCATCGTCTTTGTCCTTTGTATAGTCATATATAGCAACAACTGTGGAATAAACAGGAACACATTTASCATTTTATTAATAGCAACTGTATTAAAAACCAATTGTACTTCAGAAAATGTTGAAAGGTTAGCTTGCTATCCTGGGATTTTAAACAATTAATTCACATGCTTTTCCTGTTGAACATGAAGCCCAGAAAATGAAATTTCACTTTCCTTGCAACATTAGCTACCAGTAAGAAGTGGGTGGTGACTACACTGAACGCTCAGTTAAGCTGCTGACAGAGAAGTACGGCTGATTGTGACACAGTGAAGTGGAACTTATAGACACTTAAAAGCCAATCTAGGAAATAACTAACTCGTGTGGCACCTATTTCTGATCAGGTTATCTCAAAAGCATATGGGTCCCTGTATATGAATCTCTTTATTAGAACATGCCTAAAAAATTACAAATATCGTTCCACTAAGGCCCCTGCTTGCACTTCAGTGTGGCCTTGCACACATCACAGCTAAAGCCWCTGCACACAAATGAATGGTCTTTCCTACAGAGCTCTTATGTCATAAGGAGTTCTGGCATTACTTTTTAAGGAGCTGCAATGAGTGCAAATAGAAGTTACTGAAGGAGAAAGTAGAAGTGACATGTGCTATTTTTCAGTACCTGCTTGGTGAATATTTCACTCTTACCAGCCTCCAACTTGCTGTGTGCCATTAGCAAAGCAAAAGATTTCCCCAAAGAAAGAATGTCACCACTAATACTGGAGTAAAAAACTAGCACTGTGAATATACAGACTTCAGACATCACAGCCTTACCCTTCAAAAGTTAATACGGATTAATGCAATTGATCAGCTTTATGAATTCCAAGAATCCACTATTTTACAACTACATACATTCTTAGATATCTTGATGCCTAACAATTATGTGCTGCCTCAGTTATTTTCATCCCACGGTTATGTCCTGCACAYAGTCCAGCTCTGAGTGAAGATGGAACACAGGAGCTCTGCCACTAATACCACCGGTACCCAGCCCCATTTTGTACTCRCTACAGCACCAGCCAGCTCATGAGAAAACTGGCAGCACTGCTGCTGACAAAATGGTCAGTGCCACAACACAGACAACTCCACAGGCAGGARATGTGCTTCTCCATTATTCATGGGAAGAGACGTTACTACGTGAGTTCATACCTAAGCCCAGTTGAGAGTCTGCTGATGTGGAGTCACTGATAAATCTGCAAGGAAGCCTCAACACATTTGACAGTTCAAAGTCTAATAATCCACTCTAGTCATCTAGCTAGATGGGATAAATACAGCTTGGAATTTCTGTCAGTTCTGCAGCAGTTTGTAGATGATTGCCCAGCAATACTGAGGTAGGTACAGACAGTCCAGCTCATCAAAGATGAAAGCCATCCAATTTATATCTGCTTCTTGTAAAGAAGCTTTCTTTTTCATCCATTCTAAAATGCTTGAAAGTATTTTATGATTTGTCCAAAGAAGGATTATGTCTTACCACAGTAGGTGTAGCCAAACTAAGGGAAGCACGATTTGAGGTCTGACTTAGGAGGGACAATGACTGCTTTCATCAAACATATGCTAAGTCCTTTATTACCTTCACATACCATTAATCCTCTGATACGGCACTAATATAGCTGCAATGCTTCTCTTACCTTTCTCTATATAGTTTTTAGGTGCCCAAGCAGGATCTCCATCTGCATAGGGATCGTTGTACTGCACCACAGCAGCCTCCTCATCCTCATAATCCACGGGCGGTGGGGGTGGAGGAGGAGGAGAGTCATCAAACATCGGCATCTCATCAGGAGGTGGAGGCGGGGGAGGAGTCGGGCTATCAGCAACTAGAAACATTTGGAGATTATTGTTTTTTCTTAAGATAGTGTGGAGATGCAAACAAACCTGAGGCTGTACACTGAAATAAAAGGGCTGGGGGGACAACACACATAGCATGCACTATAATACCATGCACTGATTAGAAACAGAGGTTTTGTATTAACAACTACAACACACAACTATATTTGTTATTAGTGGTCAAATCTACATATAAATGCTACTAGAGTCAAAGCACATGCTGCGGGGCATAAGCTGAACATCAGCAGAGAGGAAAGCTTCCTGCTCCAATGTCCATGCGCTGCAGCGTTAGCTATGGAGGACTCCGAGTGGCACCCTCTGAGCCAGGCAGCAACAGGCCTCTGACTGGGCCAGCAGCTTGRCTGGTTTTTAAGAAATCCTTTGTCTATACAGTCACTTTAATTTACATGTCAACACTGCTTCCTTGGATTCCTTCTCTCTCAGTGCTAGCTTTAAGAGGACAAAAAGATCTGGTGTGGATCATAAATATCTCTACCCTTTTTTAAGATTTAACCAGGTAAGAGGAAGCCAAGTAATCCTGCAGAAGAAAAGCTTTGTACAGATCCTTATCTTGCACACTAGCTTGTGTGTATGTGCACACATTCAGGATTCAATTAATAAATAGAAAACTACACAGGCAGCTGCTGCTCTTAGGGAGGAAGTGCTCAAGGAATTAAATGTACAATCCAAAATGTCAATTCCCTGCCCTGAGATTCTCCAATCAGCACAATTACAAGTTGCTTTGGGAAAGGGAAAAAGAGAAAGGCATTATGATACAAATCACTTTTAAAATCAGTTCATTAAATTAGTTTCCATAATGTTCACAGCAGCTGGCAGCGAAGCAGAGAGATGGCAACTCAGATGCAAGGCATCAAGTCACTTTATCCTATGTCTTGGGAGATGTGGTTCACTACACACAGACCTAGGTGTGCGAAGCACCGCGAAGCCAGAAGTTATCAAAAGGAAGCTACTGTTACTAACATCAACTTTGTTGCAAAGCAATACCGATTCATTTTCAAAAAATGGTGGTATTCTGCATACTGAAAACACGCTGAAAACCACTGCCCTAGGCAGGGTTTGATGGAACGAGGCATCAGGCCCCAGAATATGCAGCTCCAGCACATAAATTCTGAGAAGCCAAGCTATAGAGAAAGAACAACACTGCACTGAGTGAAGCTTTAACTACTGATGGTTACAATGGYACT